GATGAGACTATAATTAAAATATAATAAACTATAATTTAAATATATTTTGCTATTAAGCCACTCTGTCTTTAGCAGTCTTTCAAATAAAAAAAAAGGTATAAAAGCAAGGTTTGTAAAATCAAATATTTGTATTGAAACCCCGTCACCGCTGTGCCCTAATTTGAGTTTTCAGGTTTCTTTATTGTTAGACATATCCAGACACACATGTGAGTCATGATGGACCCAAAGAGATTGAACCTACGACAGTTTATTATGAGCCGTATACCATTAGACCAACGACCCCGTACATAATTTTTCTTGCAATGTTAATTAACCACAAGTCATGTGTATATATATCAATTATTTAAATGTATATGTATACGCTGCCATACGTTTTACTTGTTTGGTGATATACCCATCTTAGCGTTAGATTAAACTTAGTAGTAAACATCTTATATATAGGCTTAAAGAATTGATTCGTACCCGAAAATAAAACTTTATGAAAGACGTAACCATACGTTACGAGGCGCAGCTGTCTCGAGATATATAGGTCGAAAATAATTTGGGTCTCAATAAAATGATCGGCTGCCGTGATTTCTTTTGTACTGCCGAAGGGATTGGAATAACCTCTTACGAACCTTTGAACAAGATAATACACCCAAATGGGATCGAAGGGACGTTCTTTTAAAAACGTTTAGGAACGTCAGTTGAAAATACTAGAGGAAAATAAAGAATTAGTTTTTGAATTCAGTACAATAAATAAAAATTAATAAAAAACCTTTCACTTGACTACGATAACGGGGCTTGAATATAGAAAAATATAGCTATTACAAAACTAAGTACAGGCAGCATATCATTGTCTTTCGGGCTGTTCGGCCGATGTGAGCGAGAAGAGATTCTTGACGTTTCGCCATCACGTGTAGACGGCATCATCAGGCATTAATTATTTGAGCACAACATTAATTCTTCTTAAATTAATTAATGATTAATTCTTCGAGGAATCAAGTAGTTAACGTCTCTTGATGATGCCGTCCACACGTGATGGCGAAACGTCGAGAACCTCTTCTCGCTCACATGGGCCGAACAGCCCGAAAAACGATAATATGCTGAACGATGGCCGTGAAAGCCTTACACAATATTAAGTACAGACAGTATGTACTTTATTTTGTACGTTATTGTGTGTAGTGTGCGAGTAGTATTACACAATTGAATAAAACCCTTTTAACTGTTTAAAAATATTATAAAACCGTAAGTGTTTTATTTAAATATGTACTACTCGCGTAAACTATAGACACTACAGACATTGTAACATAATACATATTCAACGATATAATACCACAAGAATACATAAGCAAGGTTTTACAGCTAGAAATACAATATTCTGGAGGGCTTACATGGGTATACAGACATACCGTACTGGAGCGGGGAGGTGGGTCAAAGCTTCTAAACCCTCTCTCGTATGAGAAACGAGATGTGTCCACCTGTGTTACATTAATAGGTTGAACGGAAAACCGACAAAGATTATTAGCGTGTACCGATCTTAGAGTTTGTGCTTATGTAAAGATAAGAGATTATTTATTATAGAGAGAGTTAATTATTATAAATTAAAGATAAATTGTTAATAGAACGAAGACGAATTAACATAATATCTGTCGGCGTCGTTGGTGTATCGGTATGCATTTTTCTAATCAATTTCTATTTTTTCTAACACTTCGATTGGAAATCTAGATATTGAATTGGTAGTAAAAATATCGTAATTCCGTCCGGCTCACGAACTATCGTCCACAGATGAAAAAGCCGTGAAGTTAAATCGTATATGTCGAAGTATGTGATCCAGAATTGTTTTTTAAAATTGGTGACGTCGGCAGCACCGACGTCATAATTGTCAATATTGTTAGAGTGGTCCATTTTTACTATTGAAACACTTTTATAATTGAATAATAAAAATAGCTATAGACTAGACGTTCGCTCTCAGAGCGCCGTCCCTCCAAAAGTGTCCTGCGCTACAACGGACGGCCTTATATAAGCACGTAGTGGGGGATTTCAGTGGAGCGACCGACGTGAGTCACTTGTTTACGCCGTTAGGAACACGTGCAGCGATGACGCAACGAATCGCCTGTTTTGCGCCGATACGACCATCCTGACCGGCTGTGCGCGCTCTGCACTAGCCGTTTTGGTGTTTTACTGATGATTATTAATTTCTGAAACTGGTAAATTTTAATCTTTGAGATTGGTATCTGTGAACCAGGTTGCTAATAATTATTATGGTCAGCAATAAGATTCATATCTGACTGAGTTTAGTGTATACTGTAGTGTTATGTTGTCACGTACACTGTGACACCAAAGTCACGCACTCTGTGGTACCAAAGTCGTGTACCCTGTGGTATTATTGTCGTGTAACACATCACAATAGTTACAGTGACAAATTATATTGGTAAAAGGTCATTTTAATTAACTGTTCATTCCACATGACAACAGTTTAAATCATTGATATTGTAAACGGTGACTTATTTAAGTAAACTGCTCATTCCACATGACAACAGTTAAGGACTAATGATATTGGTGATCTTATATTTTTATTTTATTGAACTGCTCATTCCACATGACAACAGTTTCGTATTTTTAATTTTATTGAACTGCTCATCCCACAAGACAACAGTTTCGTATTTTTAATTTTATTGAACTGCTCATTCCACATGACAACAGTTTCGTATTTTTAATTTTATTGAACTGCTCATTTCACATGACAACAGTTTCGTATTTTTAATTTTATTGAACTGCTCATTCCACATGACAACAGTTTCGTATTTTTAATGTGTAGGCGGATAGCGAATACAATTATAGACAACACATGGTAAGGATAGGTTGGAGACAGGGCGATGCTGCATAAAGCAGAGGCTCTAAAGGATGATTTGACTAGGTCGATGCTGTGATCTAGGCGGTCCTGAGCGCCGCGGACACAGGGGAATAAATTATTATTTTTTTTGGATAGGATTTCGCTACCGCTGGCCGTTGGTGGGCTCCAATACCCCAACGTGCATCTTTTCACATTATTATTATGATTGACTCATTAACGATCAGTCGCTAAGAGCAATAATATCATTAGGATTAGTCAAAGGACTAAATGAAGCGAAGAATAAGTATTGCGCCTCGCTAGGTTAACAGATTAAATGGAACTCACCGGGATTTGTCAGATTCTCTCAATCTGAAGACTGTTCGGGCATAGCAACTTGTTGTGCAGCACCAGGTGTGCGAGAAGTCGCCACTGTAATGCCCGAAGGTCCAGCAGTTTCATCTGGAGGCGATACGGCCATCTGGGTGGTACCGCCAGGTTGTGGAGCGCGCGGTGACTTTTCGTAGATGACATCTACTCATCACCTTTTCAACAAGGTGTGAGGAACTCGAAAGGCACGCAATGTTTGCGTTGAGTAATTAATGTAAGAAAAGTTACTGCAGTAATTCGATAAGGAGTGCAGTTTAGTGCTAACAGAAGTTCCTTCAATGTTGTGTGCCATTCTTCCGTTTTATAGTTTTTTTTTTCATCATGGTTGATCCGGTTTACTGTAGCAACTACGCATTCAACATGCCCATTTTGCTCGGCTGATACCTGATATGATTAGGGCTATTGCACGAATTTCCATACTTGAATGGTCACAATAGTTTTTAAATTCGCCCAGAACCTTATCTTCGACCGTCAACGATTATTTGTATTGTAGCACCAAATACTGCACACGCTTCAATGCGGCCAAGGTACCTTCTGAATTTTTGTTGGTTGAAATTGAGTATTCGGTTTTTGAATCAGGTGTATTTTGACGATCTGCATACAACACAATTATCCACCAATTGCCGAATTATTGTATTCAGGTTAATAAACCAGCTGTCCTAAATTTTTTTATTAAACTTGATACTTCAATCCAGTATGGAATGAGTTTAAACAAATCCACTGAAAAGCATCCATCACAGTCCATAGCGCTTCATCACGTCGTTTTTCTTTTTAATTTTTAACCAGACAAGGTTATAGGTCATTACATTAACTGTAAATTCTGCTGGGTTCTTACCCCTGAACCCTTGTGATATTCAATATCGAAATCATAATTTTGTAGAAATGTCCACCATCGATGAATCCACTGCCAAGGTTTCTAACTCTTGAGTTTCTTTTTTGACAAAGTGCAAGTGTTGGAGCTAAGGTTTCCATCGGTATTCCATCATTGCCATTTCCAGTATGTAATTTCCTTGTATCAGGCTATTGAGCGGAGAAGGTAGGTAATCCCACTTCTGATGTCGAAGTATGTGATCCAGAATTGTTTTTTAAAATTGGTGACGTCGGCAGCACCGACGTCATAATTGTCAATATTGTTAGAGTGGTCCATTTTTACTATTGAAACACTTTTATAATTGAATAATAAAAATAGCTATAGACTAGACGTTCGCTCTCAGAGCGCCGTCCCTCCAAAAGTGTCCTGCGCTACAACGGACGGCCTTATATAAGCACGTAGTGGGGGATTTCAGTGGAGCGACCGACGTGAGTCACTTGTTTACGCCGTTAGGAACACGTGCAGCGATGACGCAACGAATCGCCTGTTTTGCGCCGATATATATATTTTGTATAAAAGTAGAATAAATATACATGTAAACAGTGTATAGATAATAGTGTTGACTACTACTACTCGTGGGTTCGAATCCCACCGGGCCCACCACCACTGTTTAAATGTTATATAATAATATTAAAAATTATTTATTTTGAAAGTTGCTCACAAAAAAAAACTATGAACTAATATTAACAAAATATAGTAGGCTTAACATAGACTATGGCAACTCCTAAAACAGGAGCCACTCAGTATAAAGTTACGAACACACTGGTGTTGCAATACTGATTTGGGGGGGGGGGCGCACAATATGCATTTAAAATTTACTCTTAAATTAAATTTAAAAAAATAAAGATTAATGCGCTGACAAGTGCGACTCTAGCTCAAACACACGTACATCTAACGTGACCGACCTACCATCAACCGAACCCCGTGGTCGCCGCTTCTATCGTAAAAAATAACAATACTGTGCTTTTGTTGATATTTTGCTGCTTTTCGAATATTTCTTGATTATAAAAAAACTCGCCTTGGTCTTATAGAATTTTTCGAACGGTCTCTCGGCTCTTAATTAAAATGCACTCCGCGGAAGGTCGAGTGGAAGGTAAGGTGTGTTCTCGAGAACGCGGGCTGATTTTGCGCACTTTTTTATAATTTCGCAGACAATGTGGAACAATGGGTCTTTGCATTTCAGAGTCAAGAGAGTAAGCGGCCGATTTCAACAACAAAAGACTGCTGCAGTGGCGCGTCTCAGAAATGTGAGTATTGCAAGCAGCTTTGCTGGAGATCCGCTTTTTCTTACGAAATAATGATGAATTTTGTGTATAGAGATCAAAAATAACGATAGATAAGACGTCTTTAATATGAGGATTAAAGGAAAAACTTCGCTTACATCAAATTATATTTTCCGATCTTTATAAACTTATCTATCAAGCTAACCACGACGCCGTCCGCGTTCCGTCGTTCTTGCAAGTTAATCTAAAAAGATAGATAGACATATTATACTGTCGCGGACATTTTTTTACATCATTTAAACCGAAATCGGTCTTTCATACATATTTGTTGGGAATCTTTAACCGTTTTCGAAACGTACACAACGGACAATTTTAAGATGTCGACACTATAGTGTCGCAGACATGTTTATAGGCCTTCCTCGATGAATGCTCTAAACAACACAAAACCAACCAAACTAAAACAAACAAACTCTTCAGCTTTACATATTCCTTTAAAATACATAGTCCTTTAAAATATTGTAATAACGCGACAGACACATACTTGTATCCATTTCAGAGATCCGTTTTATTTATAGGTAGTTGATCTAAATTCTGTCAGATTGTTTCCCCAGGATTCAATTCCAGGATCGTTCGCTTTTATCTCTCGTCTTTCTCGCAATGCTAGGCACAGGTGTAACCATGTAGCTACTGAGGCAGTCTTTAATAATTTAAATGATACGGTTACCACTAATTAGAAGACAATGACACCCATATATTTATGTAGTGTATATCTATGTAATCTAATTGTAAATTCAAATAAATGTTCTTATACTATGTAGTTTTTATTTTCAGTTTATTTTAACTAAATGAAGTTTGCGAAATGTTCTTCCAAACTCTCCTTAAGAACTTACCTAATTGTACCTATATTAAACATACAAAATAAGTGTACAATAGAGAAATAATCTACCTCATAGAATTATATTTTCATTACAACCGTTTTCCAATAGAATAATTAGCTAATTCAACTGGTATTGAAAGAGATTCGATATTTAATTAATACATGAAGCTATGCTTTGAAGCAAGCCTTCTATTGATATGATGCGATATGATACTTCAATATGAAAGGACTTTAATATATTTGTAATTAATTATGTCTATTTTGATCAGATCAAGAATAATAAAAAGGTAGTGAGTAGTGGTAATTTCTGTAATCAATTTATAATATTTCAGAAACATGTTGGACTTCATCTGGAATTATGAATATTAAATAGGCGGTAAGAATATCGCAATTCCGTCCAGGTCACACGCCACCATCTGTAGATGAAAAAGCCGTCAAGTTTAATGGCGTTTAGGGTCCAATCCGTGGAATTCCGATCCAAAACAAGAATAGTTCGACACCGATTATCAAAAACCGGCCTGATCGAAACTATAGTTTCCTAAAGACTTAAATTCTCGCACTTTACGTGAAGCTTTTAATCATTGAACTTCATACGAGTGTGTGAAAGCCCGTTTCCCACTCGTGGGGCATGGGGCGAACACATTTCTGTGTCCGTTTCACTGATCCGTTCTTTTAACGGGCAAGTAATTGATCAGACATCTGTGCCCTGCCCGAGCAAAACAATTTTAAGTTTCCCTGGGATTTGAATCCCGGACATTTCGCGCTTAGCGTGATGCAAGGCAATACGTTTAATAATTTGGCTACAGAGGCGGTCGATAACACGATTAACTTAAAAATATATTGAATCGCAACTACAAAAGCCTGCCAATCGGAATTAACTGTCATTATTTATTGCTCGTGTATTCACAATTCATTTTTCAATTCTGAAATTTATTCATTGCAGCCATCCCCGCTTATATCTTCATGAAATGTTTTAATTGACCCATATTCTCCTTTAATACATTAAGTATTTGAGTCGACTAGCGCGAGCAAGATCACGTTTTGATAGAAAACAAACTTTCCAGAGTAAAGTCAGTATAAGATATCCCTTAGGGGTAGCTAAGTCAATAATCTTTTGATGCACTTAACTTAATCTGGGCTAAACTGTTAAAGTTATAAAGCTTAAACGAAAAAGTTTTAACGCTTCAAAACGAAAATTATATCTATTTTTAATTACTTAGCTGTTATTGAATTCTAAGTTAAAAACAAATGAACTAATACGCGTAGCGTTTTGAACCGCTAGATTTTTTTCAATGTTCTACCAATCGCGTAGTAACGCGATTACATACAATACTTATTTATTTATTTGTTTTTATTTACTTGTTGAAGGTTTTGTTTATTTCTTTTTTTATCAAACAACGAATATAAACATTGCAATCTATACTAATATATAAAATTAAAGAGTTTGTTTGTTTGAACGCGCTAATCTCAGGAACTACGGGTTCGAGTTGAAAAATTTCGTGTTAGTTAGAGTATTTATTGAGAAAGGCTTATAGGCTATAAAACATAGCGCTGTGACTAACACAAGCAAAGATACATCAGGGAATTTACCGAGGCGGACGCTGCAGAAATGGTTTAAGATACCCAAATAAATATGTATGAGAGAATGATCCCTCTTTAAATAATCTAAAAAAAGTCCGCGACGCTATATGTCTGTCTTTTTAGATTAACTTGCGTGAACGACGGGAAGGGACGCGATCGACGTCGTGGCTAACAACTTAAGTTTATAAAGATGACGGGGTTTGCAAAAGCTAATTTGTGTTGTTGTTTAACAATCTCCCATCGCACCTCAAACGTATTCCGCCAGTGGCGTTCAAGAAACAGTTTTCAACCATGTGTTTTGAAATACAGCGTAATGCGTAATCCTTAGTCATGCTTTCTTGAGCGTTGCACGCGGGTAGAATTGTAATAATAATGTTGATTTGTATAGTATTCTCAAGTAAGTGATCTTGTATCTTTTTTGAGAAGTAAAGGTCTTTAAACCTTAAACCTAAATTTAGATGCCAAAATAACGATTCTCGCGAACTAAGTCGCTGGCACAGCTAGTAATAAATAATTCTAAACAATTCTTAAATATTTCTTCACGTATCATTTAAACCTATTTTTAGACGGTTTAAAATTATATTTATTAGAAGATGACAAGCGTGATTCGAATCTAAGATCGACAGTGTCGTGCCACACAACCCTCATGTAATGTGAAAACAAAAACGTAGGTTAAAATACTTATTAAGTAAGCACGTATACAGAGATGAAAATGCATTTGCTAAATTGTATTTTACTTTATTACAACTTTTTTCAGGCATAGTTTTCGGCGAGGTATTTTAAAGTAAGGTTTTGCTGCAATTATAAATGTCGAATCTCGTTTAGTACGTAATATCATGATAGACACATTGAAATTTTTGACAATA